CTGAGTGCAGAAACAGCAGATCAGCAGCTGAATTCCTCCTTTTACTCTCACTGAGGGAAGAATCCTGAACTCCCCAGGTAGTTAATAAGATCTTAATTAAACTCTAATTATGACAATAGAAATGCGAAGCCTTAGCTATTTTAGTTCCCACCAGTCAGCCCATTCCCCATCCCTGATGTCTAGACATGGAGGCTGCAGGTGTGTCTACACACAAACTGAAAACAAAAACAAATTTAGGTCACAGACTCCAGCAGCCAAAGATGCAAATAGAATCAATTCAGTTGTTTCAGCTCCAGTTCATGTGCAGAAAACCCTGATGTTCCCATCACCTGAGGAGGAAGGGCTGTTCCTGATGCATACATCTTGAAGTTACACCCTCAGGGCAGAAGATGCAATCAGGTTACCACAAGTAGTGTCCAGTCCAACTTGTTCAGCAGTAAGTGCCCTGCTCCTCTATCAGCTCTTTCATCAAGCAACTTCTCTCCACTTTGCTCCAACTTCGGATCTGAGTTACTTGCAGAGCTCCTACCACATGCCTCCCCTTGCTTTTTCTTTCTCTGAGGTTCTCTGTTACTGCTGTTGTCAAAAGTGAACCTGAACCAGGGTCTCATGAATGGAAACACTGCCAGATATGACCTCATCACCCTGGAAACTAAAGGCAAACTGATCAGCTCAATGTGGCAAAAAAACCCTTTGTTTGAAATGAGAAGACTAAGCACAGTTCACTCCAATTTCCTACCATATCTTTTGGGCCTAATTTCAAGCCACCACTGCTGTTTCTCTAACCTCCTTGGAAAGGGAAAAAACCAAACCAACCAGCTACCCCCTCCACACGTAACAAGGCAGTGGTGTCTTGGCTTCCTTCTTTCCCCACAGATTTGGACTGCTTCTAAATAATATTTTTTTTACCAGGGTCTATCAAGGGTGGCCCTTTCACCCAAGTGGGTACATACATTAAGCAAGAAAAATGATGTTGCTGTTAAATCAGGAGGGTTGTATTTACTAAGCAGGTATCTATAGCCCTCAGAGTTGTGTTAGTGGTCCAGAACTTGGAAGAGCTGGGAACCCTTTAGAGGAAAGCAGGAATCTCTCAGCACTTTGTTGCTTGCAGGAGTTGCTCTGAGTAGAAACATGAACAATTCATGTCCTAATTAATGCCAAATTCTCAATCCTAGAAGTATTTGCTTTATTTTCTATGTGTAACTAACTGCATGAGGAAGTGGCTGAAAGATGCATGACAAGACTTTCAAATGCTCAGTCCCAGAGCTGAACCAGGATTTCAGGAACAGTCAGTCCTTAGTGACTCCATGCTTTCTGCTGCCAACCAAGCAGCTTTGAAGACTACTGTTGAAGATGTAGCTATGTATTCAGATGCTCAGGTAGGAACAGAATGCTGTGGCAAGGTCTGGACACAGAAAAGCCACACGGGGAATACAATTCTCAAATCAGTAACAGCTAATAGGTAGGGTCTTCCATCAAGTGTCCCAAGCTTGGAGAAGCCAAACTGGCCAGGATCATGGCTAGGAAGTGTTGATGGCTACACAGCGTTTACACGCTTAAGCCTTGGTTCCACGCAGAGGGCAGACACAAGCCCACACTTCTTATGTTCCAGCTCAAACTGGTCTGCGAGAACACAGCCTGGACACCACGTGAGTGTGCCAGAGCACAGCCTGTTTACAAGTGCATGGCATGGTACGGGCCAAGGCCAGCTCATTTTCCAAGTCAATACCAAACCAATATTCATGACACTATAGCTGGAGCCAACAGCAAAACTACATGGGCTTTAGGCTGGAGCACTAATGCCTCTAATCCAGGAAACATGTAAGCGCATGCATAACTTGAAAGGAACAGTTGGGAGGTCTGAGGGACTGACTGCAGTACTGGAAGTCAGCAGCGGTAGACTGTGTACAGCTACAAAGCCTTTTATCTACTAGAAGCCCAGATTCTGCTGCTGCATGCTTATAGGGTATCACAACAAGAGAGGCACTACCCATGAAAGAAGGTGGAGTGGGAGAAAAAAGTCTTTAAGACAAACTAGGATAGAAACAGCATGAACCAGGAAAACAAACACCCTGGACCTGGCATGGAGACAGACTAATCTTTCCATACTCCCTAAAGTTGCATCGATCTTGGAACAACAGAGGGGGAGTAAAGTATTTCACAGATTGTGTACACATCACTGTGTACCATACAGAAATTATACTTTTATGGCCTGGCTATGTGGGCAGCCAGCCTGAGCTGAGCAAGAACAGAGAGATTTGGCAGGTAAAAGAAGAGACTCATAAAACAAAAGAGGCAACTGGAACAAATACAGCCAAAGAAACAGAATCACATGACAGGCAGTGTTAGCTGTTTTGTGTGGTGTTTGTTGTTTATTTTATTTTTTTCCTCTCTCTCCTCACAAGGAGAAGAAGGAATTCTCTAGTTTGTCTGCACTTTGCAGTTACTGAGCATTGTACAACTCCATGGAGACAATCAATGATAAACTGTTCCAGACCTTCACCTGCAATAACATACCCACACCAACCAGGCCTGTCCAATAGTACGGAGCAAAAGAGAGACCTAGCTACTAACGATGTATTGCTTGTAATTGGACTGGGTGTCTTCACCAGGTGGTACAACCATGTTGTAAGTGAAAGAAAGAGCAAACCCTATGCAGAAACATAAACTGAGAGCACTAAACTTGCTTCTCTGCCAATTAAATCATCTCTCTGTGACTCTGCTGCAACAGAAAGGTATTTCTTGCACAACGTTAGACCATTCCTTACAGTTTTCTGTCCCCATTTTCCCCAGCAGCAGTTTAAGTCGTCCCTGTGTGTTCGCTCACTTGAAAGGCAGACACAGAAGTGGTCCGATGCTGGGGCTTCCCAGACAGCAGCACTATACCAAAGGAAATAATTTTCAAAGAGACTATTTCAAATCCTTTGCTTGGTTTATATTAAACACAGAATTAACTCAACTTGCCTGAACAAACTGAGCTCTGAAATCAAAGATTTACAGAATTGCCAACCATGAGAGTTCACAAGTCAGGTTCTGAAACAACTATGAAATTGGCTTAGACACATAAAAACCATCTGCCTGTGGTTCTCCTTTTCTTGAAGCTGCCTGTACTGGAAATCTAGTAGTGGGTAGAAGTGAGGGTCTGAATTTGCGGTGCAGTAGCTGCCCCAGGCCTGCTCCCAAAAGGGACAGCCTGCTCCTTCCCCCGGAAGTGAGCAGGTGTGAGGGGAGCAGCAGCTTGCATGATGCTCATCTCCACCCACTGTGGGGTCATCATGGGCTGTGATTTTCACAACTAAAGCTAAGTTTCTTCTGCAGTTCTGGTTACTTGGACACCCTCAGCTGGGCTCTTGCAATAAATGTCACGAGGCTGGGCAAGCTCACACAGCCTCCCAGTTCACGTGGTATTTATTCCACCTGCAAAACAGCACAGCAACAATGGCTCTTCAGAGAAAGCTGCGTGAAGGCCTAAAGTAAGTGCCAACTGTTGCACGAGCTTAACAGCAACATGGTTTGCAACCTGTATTTTTCTGCCTCCCTACCACTTTCTTACAAGGCAGCAGAGAAAGCACATGCCCCCCACTTTCTATCATGCTAAACTGGAGGGGCAGCGCCAGCAAAAGAAAAACGCGGGCAATAAGGTTAACAAAGCCTTAACCAGATAAAAGGTGGAGGAGATGGGACTTCCCAGCCCATTCCTAGGGTGGCTGCAAGCAAACAGCAATAGCACAAGGATTCAAAGGACAGTTAAGCAAAACACTCGAGATGCAAATGAGGCCACCCAGCTCCAAACAGCAGAAGAGAGGAGTGCAGATGCCCTGCCTGCAGTTAAGGACAGCACAAGTGATGCAGCCTGGGCTGCCATACTACTCCCTGCACCGTGGACCCCACCAAGACTGGCTGGGGCAGCAGCACATCTGACATCTGCCCCAAGCTGCTGTCCCTGCCCTTGCCGGGCTGCATCTTCCCTGCTGCTCCTTCCCTTCCAGCACGGGACACTGCATCAGTGACAGGACAGGCTTCAGGATGCAGGGGAAAGTGTCAGGCATCAGCTGAAACTCCCCAGCACCATGATCAAAAGTCTCCCCACCTTGGGCTACCAGGGCAGGCTACAACAGCAGGTCTCACCTATTTCTAAGAAAACACCACTTCCTCTCCCCAAACTAGCACCTCCCTGCAGCAAAGGTACCCCAGCCCAGAAAGCAATCTTATGCCTGCACTGGACAGGCAGAGACAGTGACAGATGCTGCTCCCTGGTGTATCTCATTCAGAGAGGAGAGCTCACGACCACCCCATTCAACACGTGGACAACACAGAGGTTGTTCTTCTTGCCTGGTGTGACACTGCATGAACGGTGTTAAACTCCAGCTTGGTTGCAAACGCAAAGGCACTTGCACAGGGCCCTGCACTAGGCGGTGGATCTCCCTGCAGGAAGCTGTGCTGACCTTCACTTGGTCTCAAAGAATGGGAAAAAAAAACAAAAACCCACACCAAAACCAAAAAACACTTTTCCTAATGTAGAGAATGGGCCTCTGTTTGTGAGGGCACTGAGAGATCCACTGGGATACTTTTCCAACCAGCGGTTACCTCTCAGCTTTACTCACAGTGCCCCTGCTCCCCGCCAGGTGATCACACCTTTCTTCTTAACTAGCTATTACAAAAGCAAGTTTAGACACCAAGCCTGCCCTGGGCTCCTGCAGGGAAGCCCCACTAGGGTCAGAGAGCAGACATCCAACAGTCCAGTGTCTCTTAGCGTGGAGGCTGCCCACAGAAGAGGAGAGGGGTCTCCCCAGGCCAGGTCTAAATGAATTTAGGACATGGCCTGAACTCCTACAGCTAGCAAACTCTCCCGAGGGCACAGGCAGAGGCATGGGTTGCCAGAAGCACATGTGAGTCTTTGGGTAGGAGAGCATTTACCCCATGCTCCAGCCTATGTTCTTGCTGCTGGGATATCCAACCCGAGCAGCCAGCCTGGCACCCTGCACACCACTCCATCTCACCTGGGAGAAGTTCAGCCCATTGAGCGGGTGGCACTGCTCCTCCACCTTCTCCACAGCACCTGTTTGCTTTCTCAGCCGCTCCGCTTCCTGGGCCAGGTACAGATCCAGGACAGGCACACCTCGTGACTTGATGTCTACCTCTGTCAGAGAGTTCACCATCAGCATCACCCATACTGGTCTCTTTCGTTCCCAGTTGCCAGCAATGGCATTGAAGAGGTAGTCTGCATACAGCCCTTTGCCCCGCTGGTCTGGGGTCATCCAGGATGGCATCATGAGCTTGACGTACTCCAGGTGCCGCTTGAGCCGGCAGTAGATGTCACGGGGCAGTACGTCCTGGAGGTTCTTCCCCTGCGGCAGGAGCTGGCAGCTGGTGAGAGCTGAGATGGTGTAGGGGTCAGTGAGGTCCAGCTCAAAGTACACGATGTGGCTCTGCTGGAAGGCCTTCTTGGAGTTCTCTGGGATGAAATCCCAGACACGTGTGTATGGGACATGGATGGTGCCAAAGAAGTAAGATGGGGGATCTCTCTTGATGGTCCACAGGAAGGAGTTCAGCTCACTTTGCTGGGGGAGAGGGAGACACAGCTCAGTAAATACAGACACTCATGCTGGGCCACTGCAGTAGAGGGCTTAAGGAAAACATGGAACCAAGCCATCAGGTCACCTGACTCAGCACCTTGCCAGCACGGACTTTTCCTAAAGCAGCTTTGCTCACACAGAGTCCCCTTCGACCATCCTTTTTCTGAGGTCTTCAGGTCAAAATTCAATTTTCATTAATTAAAAACACAAGAAGATTGGCCCTGGCTTTTCCCTCCTGAAACACTGGGTCTTCCCACCAGTAATGTCACCCTGGCTCATCACCTGAGTAACTGCCAAAACCAGCAGCAAAGCAGGCCATGCTCCAGGTAAAACGCTTATGCAGCTTCCACCTTTTATTGAGTCAAAAGCTGTCTGCTGAAGCAGAGTAGGCCAGCACAGTTTCAATCACCTTCACCTTGATGCCTCTAACTTCAGCACAGCAAGGCACCTTTCATCAAAGAAACTACTGTGACACTTAGAGGGTGCCACAGCATCTTGGGACAACTTTCTGCTTTGAGTGAAACACCAAACAAACGGGTAACAGAAAACACAGCTGGCAGGTAGACTTGCTGGAGCAAGTAGAAATACAGTTTTACAGGGATGTTGCACATGGCAGACAGACACACAGTAAAGATCCCTCATAGCCCAGTTCTCCTCTTTCTTAAGAAGGAGAGAAGCACATGCAAAACCTTGGAAAATAAGGGAAGAAATCTGCAGGCCAAACTCGGCCTGTGGTTCCAGGGCATACTCTTTTAAACACAGGAGAAGAAAAAGCTTCTTTATTTAGATTGGCTTTTAAAATATCTCAAAACCCACAGCCATCAGGAAGTCAGAATCAGACTTTAAGCTTGTTCTGCTGCAAAGTGTGCCTGACAGCATTCCCAGGAATACCAGCGTGCAGGGCTGTACTCAAGCCCTGAGCAGTCCCACAGGACATGAGACCAGATGGGGCAAAATGGATCCTGCTTGGATCCTGCCAAGTCATTTTATACCACTTTACACCACATGACCTCCATCACCTACAGCATGCACCCTGCTCTTGCAGTGGTCCTTACTGGAGCGATGGACACAAACAGCTTCTGTCTGTACAGACAGGAAGAGGTAGCCTTTGCATGTCTAAGTAGGAGGACAGGCTTCCAGATGCACTCCAACATCTGGCGTCATCTTTAGCCAGCAGATAACTTTAGCCTCGGCTTTCAGGCTGTGTGCATGTGTGCTGACCTAAGAAGCCTGCCTGACTGCCAAATGCAGAACAGGCTGCTTGGAGGAATTTATTGGAAGCACATTGCCTATAAATTTCTGATACTAAAGACCCAGGGTCAGAAAGGTTAGTCTTAAAGACTGCTCTGCAATGGCTCATCCCAGACAACCTTCTCCAGCAGCTATGTCAAACTCAGGCCACAGATAAGGTAGCAAAGTGCTACCACCAGTCCAGCTTACCAACACGGACCAACAAACCAAGTATACTCCAAAGAGCACTTCAGATACTTCTGCAGAACATCAAGAGTCTGAAGGATAAGTCAGACCTTGGTAACACTAGGCTACAACTAGAGATCCTACAGGAGAGTCCTGGAATGCGCTCCTGAATCACAGACCATAAAAACTCTCCTGAAGACCATGAGAAGAAGGGAGAACCAAGTCTTGGTCTTGCAGTATCAAGAGGTAAAGAAGATAGAAGGCAACAGATGAGTACAAATGGGCCATAGATGCAGGAAGAACATAGGAAAATGAATACACAAAGTAAAACAAGAGGGAAAACAAGACAGGATTCCCTCCTGTCATCAGTCAAGAGGGAAAAATGGAAGGACACACCACTGTGGTGAGAAATGAACTGGAAGTGGTCATCAGCCTGCAAGGAGGAAGGACCAGAAGTGCTGCTTTCTATCTACAAGCAAGCAAAACGACTGAAGATGAACCTGGGACAAGCACAAGGTCGGGAGGTCAACACTCCTTCACTTCACACAAGTCTGATCATGTATGTGGCAGTGCACAAGAAGAGCCAACACGGCAAGGAATCATAAGGAACAAGTGGTAACCAGACAACTTAAAACTTCAATTCAGCTCCTGAATAGACCCAGCCAGAAGGCTCAAGCCCCTATGGATGGTACCAGGCTTTAACGCAGATCATCAAGTGCTCCTCCAGACTACTGCACATAGCCCAGCTAGAAAGGTGTTTGGCGTTGCACTCCCACTTCTTTTGCTCTGCAAATCCCCCCAGCTTTCACAATCAGATACTGGAAGCAGAATAATGCTGCCAGCTGTTAGTGGTACCACTGAAGACATCACACAGGCCACCCGACACAGAGTAAATAAAGTCTTCCTTTAAAAAACCTGAGCACAGGCAAAAGAAAGCAGGACAAGACCTAGCAGAACTTTTCACATAGTCCTAGAGACCGACACCTTACAAACCAGAGTGGCTGGGCACTCTTGCTGGCACTTCCCTGCCAACAGGAGATGTCATGAACTTGGAAACCCACTCCAAGCACCATTCAGACCTCCCTTCTCAGAATTGCTTGGAGCCAGCATGCAGGGCTGGAGAGCAGGCCTCAGTTTCCCACCATTGATGGGAAACCTCCCCAGACCCTGCAGAACCAGTTTCCAGGCACCAGCAGTTGGGTATCATCTCCAGGTGATGCCACAATAGGAGCTCACAAAGCTCACTTTCCCTCCAAAAGGCAGCATTACAGCTGCTCGGGACATCCTAGTGCCTCACACTCCTTTGGCATCTTGTTTTTCTTCAGAAGGCAGAGACTGGAGTCCCAGTACTGCTCTGCCTCCATGCCAGACCCCTGCAAACAGCCTGGCACTGCTTTGCATGAGAGGGGATAGGGCAAAGTCCTTGGTGTGCCTGAGCAGGTCTGTGCTTCCCCTGCTGTACCTTCTGGCACTCTCACATCCCTGTGCACCTCCTGGAGCTCATGCATGTTTCACTGCAGCTTCAGAGAGTGAAAAGCGAGGGTATAATCTCTCCCCAAACCCATAAAAGGGGAGCCGTTAAACAACACTCTAGGTGGCTGTGAGATAGCACAGGAGCAGCGCCGAGGCTTGTTCAGCATCGCAGGATATGCCATCACTGGCAGCGCCTCTCTCTCACCTCGCTTCCCTGAGAGCATATCGTAGATGAAGGTGCTGGAAACCCAATTTTCCTTTGCAGTAGGATCCTTCTACACAGTTGTTACATCAGAAAGGGGTGCTTTAAAACCAACATAATTACAGTCAAAGCAGTGTCCTGGAGGCTTAGAGAGATGGGTTGTATAGCGTAAAAAAAAAGTCAGGTTCCTGTACAGATCAAGATGTGATTTTCTGTCTCCACTCTCCAATACTCAATGCATTCCTCGTGATGGGAAAAACTAGGAGAAAAGGGGAAAATTGGAGGGGCAGCCTAAGGAAGAGAGAGGCAGTCCTGCATGAGAACACAGGTCTCCCAATTTGTTGCCACACCAAGATCTGAGGCAGCGTCACACCAGCCATACCATACCTCCTCTGTGCCTCACATTTAACTCCCCAATATGTAGTCCCAGATCAAGGTATTTCTGAATGCTCAGCACTATGACACAGTGCCTTCTCCCCTACCTCACCTCCCCAGGTGAACAACAGCTGGCTGTGAACTGAATCAGGGTATCAGCCCAGCCAAAAAAATTTCTTGGAAGAAAAAAGGAGAAAGAGAAAGGCTTCTCCCCAGCCAGCAGGGGAATGAAGGAGAAGGAAAAGGAGCTGCTCAAGCTGACACTGTCACAGAGACAACGCACTGAGACCTATGGGATCCACTCCCTCCCATGCGACTGGGAAAGCTTCCCTTCCCAGCTGGGGCTGCACAGGGGACAAATGCCACTGCTCAACATGAGATGCAATGGCAGCACATAAGGCCAGACAACACTTCCCCAAAATGAGGGGACAACAGTGTCAGGCATTGCAGAAATCCTGGAACAGCATGGTGCATGTCAAGGGTTTTTCCTCAGGAGCTGAGGGAAGGTCTAGGCAAGAACAAAAAACCCTTGAAGAAAGGGAGAGTAAAGTGAAGTATTGCAGATCACTAGCTGAAACCAGAGTAATGCCAGTCCCATATACCAACATCTCCCCTCTAATCACATAGCTGGTTGTCCACAGGTGGCACTGGAAACTCCCCATGACCTTCTGCCTTCCTTCTATCTGCTTCAGCAGAACACAGGCTCTGACTGAAAGGTATTTTCATTGTCTTTCCAATAGGTTTCTTTTTTTAAGATTTAAAAAAACCCCAAGCCCCAGATTCTATTCGTTTTAGCTACCCGCAGCAGCTTGCTTTTGCAGCAGAGCTCATAGGTCCACCATAGGATGACACCTGTAGTCTTCCAAAAAGAAGAAAGTGTCATCTTTCTTTGAGAAGATAGCTCAAATGGACCCAAATTATGTACCGACTGTCAAGAGTAAAATTATGGTAAACATCCAGAAAACAATGCAGCAAAAACCAGGAGGATCAAAGAATACACCTAGTGGCAGCACTCTGAACATCTAGAAGAGCATGTGAGTTTAAAAAGCAAAAAAATTCAAGAGGGAAGGTTGTGGTGATAGGGGGAACAGAGGCTCAGAGGGGAAGGAAAACTGCTGTCCACAGGCTGAGGAACTAGATGCGAACTCCAGACGTGGGAACCCTACACTGTGCTTCTGCTTCCTTCTACATCGCTTCTGCTTCCTTCCATCTTCTGTCTCATCTATGTAGACTACCCATTTTCCAACACAAGCTGTATAACTTACTGTGCAGGCAGGTGCCATCTGTGCCTTCAGTGTCTTTCATGACCCTTAACCCTCATACTCACCACTTGGCCCCAGAGCCACATCTTCCAAACCTCAGCCCAGGATTGCACTGTTTCTCAATCCACAATATTATCTTAAACTTTTTTTGCTTGCTACAGAAGCCAGAACATGTGGCATGCAATATTTCACCTGGGCAGGCAGCCTTAAATACTCCTTATATGGTTTTCTCCCTCCCTCTTTCCTATCCTGGTGTC